TAATTTTTGTATTTTTAGTAGAGACAGGGTTTCACAATGTTGACCAGGATGATCTCGATCTCCTGACCTCGTGATCCACTCGCCCCACCCTCTCAAAGTGCTGGGATTACAGGCGTGAGCCACTGCAGCCAGCCATGACAGTATTTTTAAAAGTATAAAAGTATACAGAAAGTATAAAAAGAAAACCCCAAATTCCATTTTCTCTTTTCAGTATTTTTTATATATATACACACACACACACAGAGTATATATATACAGATTCTGAGATATTTTCAAAATGTGGGCTCAGAAAGTGATCAGAAAGTTGATAGAAAAAATTACGGTAATATTTTGGGTGCTTGAATGATTTCCACAAATACATTTAATTTTAGTATCTCACACTGTTGCAGTCCGTGTTTATATGAATAGACTGCCATATCTGATAGCATATCACAAGTATCTTCAAGAACTGCAGTGCATATAGGTTTTTCAACACAATAAAAGAGTTCTACAGATGTTGTCTTCCTACCGTCTGGAAAATTTTTTAAAGTATTTTACAGCTGTAATGATGGATGGGCTCACATACTGGGTCTTATTCTTTTGTTCAGTGTTCTAGAAAAAGCAATCCCACTCAGCAACATAACCTGTGTGGTCCACAGATGAGATGAAGAAAATATAAACAGATGGGACACATCTGTTAATCATAAACATTTCTTCATTAGTGTCATCATCAGATTTATTTATGTTATGTTATTGTCAAAGACTCTGACAGGGATTATATTTAATCTAAACTAAAAAAAATCAAAACCTTGGCCATTTTTCACAGGTATGGATCAATATGACATGCAATACATATAAACATTATTTTCTATGGTCAGGATGGCACCTTGATACTAACGATGTAATACTGGTCACACCCAAATTCTATGAAAGCATAAGTGCATAACGCCTATTCACCTACCTTCCAAATACAAGAAGACGGTATAGTAGAGTGGAATTACTTAGAGGTGACATAAAAAGTAAATAAACAGAGTTGTACTATTACCAGCTATGCCATTTTTCCTTGTGATCCAGGAGAATTCTATACTTCCAACTCCTCTTCTATAAAACAGATAAACCACCATGGGATACAACCATGAAACTCTGTGCAGAATGCCTATTGTGGGCCTCAGAGGACTTCAACACAAGTAGTAAAAATTATTGTAAATAGGTCGGGCATGGTGGCTCACCCCTGTAGTCCCAGCACTTTGGGAGGCCGAGGCAGGTGGATCGCTTGAGCCCATGAGTTTGAGACCAGCCTAGGCAACATGGTGAGAACCTGTACAAAAAATTAGCCAGGCATGATGGTGCATGACTGTAGTCCCAGTTACCCAGGAGGCTGAGATGGGAGGATCATCTAAGCCCAGGTGGTCAAGGCTGCAGTGAGCTGAGATCATGCCACTGTACTCCAGCCTAGGTGACAGAGTGAGACTCTGTCTCAAAAAAATATTGTAAATGATTATATTCAAAAACACCAAAGTACCCCCAAACAAAGATGTGTTATTAATTTCTAAGTATTGTCTCACTCTTGAGAGAGATTCGAATCACAGAAAAACCTAAAAATATGTTTTTTCTTCAATCTTCTGCGTGGATATCAGGATTATTTTGAGGACCTAAATGAGTTTACATGCAGACCTGGTCCATGATGAAAGGTTTACATGTCTCCACAACCTCTAAAGAATGGCCTGAGAAAATGTGGAATTACTTAGAGGTGAAATAGAAGTAAATAAACAGAGTTGTATTATTACCAGCTATGCCATTTTTCCTTGTGATCCAGGAGGATTCTATACTTCCAACTCCTCTTCTATAAAACAGATAAACCACCATGGGATACAGCCATGAAACTCTGTGCAGAATGCCTATTGTGGGCCTCAAAGGGGAGTGAGGGGTCCTAGGCAAGAGGGCAGGAAGGGCTCTGCCAAACCAGCATCTGCTGAAAACCCTCATCACTACTGCAAACTGCTTTGTAAACATATAGATTAATAGAAACTACACTTGCAGGTGAAGGACACAGGTCTTATTTCATAAGCTATTAATAAAATAAACATTTGCCCACAAAATGCCTACCCATCCAGGGAAAATAAATTATTGAACAGTAAAATTATTCTAACATCACAAAGACTCACTAACCAAATGGTGTCCTGATTCCAGGACAAAGTAAGTTTCAGTAAAAAGCTCAAAGTCACAACAGTTCTATCTGTGTCATCTTCTTGACAGTGCAGTGTAGAAAGTTGCAGTGCAATAAATGGTCACCGAAGACAAGAGGGGTCAGAGAAGACTGAGCAAGATAAAAAGAAAGGCATTAAGGGACTGACTGTGAAAACAACTACCAACACTATCGTTCAAATCTAATGAGAAAAAATTCAAAGATCAATACATGGAAAATTAAACATCAGGGTCAAATTGAGGCAACGGAATACAGGAACCAGTTCTACGCTATGTCTGTCTTCTGTCTTTCCTGATTTGGAATGTGTGTTGTATTTTGCTTCTTACTAGTAATTTCCAACCCTGGGTGTACACTGGAATCACTTGGAGAGTCTTTAATAAATCACTGCATGCTGGGCCCCAATCTAGACCAATTAAATGAGAATCTGGAAATAGGAAAGACATTTGTGAAAAAAAACCAAACCAAAACAAAACAAAACCCTTCCGAGCTGTTCTATAGTAGAGTCAGGGCTGAGAACTTTGCAGTTAGACCCTTTTTTTTTTAACCCCAAAATTGTAAGTAGCTTTCTCCAAACCACATGACAAATTATCTTTAAAACAAAGTTCCTGAATGTATAGGAAGTAGCGAAAGATTTCCAACCCAAATAAGTGCTCAAGTTTAAGTAGGAGTACACCAAGTCCAGGACATCTGCAAAAATAAAAAGAGCAAATCATGTCCTCACAAACCTGTAAATTCTTGGGAATATCTAAGATGACTCTGACTCTGTTGAGGAAAGAGTTTAGACTTAATACAGTATTTATATTATATTCTCTAGACTTAATATAGTATTAATATTGTATTCTCTCAAGTAATATTATCATAAATATTATAAGCAAAACGTATTTTTCCACAAATAATTAAGATTTCTAGAAATAAATCAAAGGAATAAATAGTTTCATTTTTATAAGGTGCTTAATACTTTGTGGAAAATGTCAATAAGATGTTTGTCTCATCAGTTACCACAGATGGCCAATCTTGATTGTGTTTGATACCAATAGCCATTATCTAAGAAAACAATTCTGAATTCTAACATCAAGAGTTTAAAACAACTGGGAAGTGGATTAGAAAGAGAAAAAGAAATTGAATACTGAGGACAGTTTTCACAAGCTGCAAAATGTTCTTAAGTTAACAGTTACAAAACTTCTACAAAGAAGAAAGTAAAGATGAACTTGGAATATACAATATAATCCTCTGCATACACTTCCTGGCCAGCAATGTCTCTAAAAGGGACAGTAGGATATGAAAAAAAGAGTGACACGGGGCAGAGGAGTGGAGCATCCTGACAGAAAACAGGAAGTCTCTCCAAAATGCATTTCCCATCTGACAATCCATTGCTGATTAATCTTGGGACAGTACATTCAAGTATCTCCCATTTTCCCCAGAAACAGAGGAATAAAAATACTACTGGGCTGCACGCAGCGGCTCACACCTGTAATCCCAGCACTTTAGGAGGCCAAGGAAGGAGGATCACTTGAGGCTAGGAGTTTGAGACCAGACTGGGCAATAAGGGAGAATCCATCCCTATAAAAATGACAAAATAATTACTCAAGTATGGTTGCATGTGCCTGTAGTACCAGCTACTTGGGATGCTGAGGCAGGAGGATCACTTGATCCTAGGAGGTTGAATGAGCCATGATGTTACCATTCTACTGCAGCCTGGGCAACAGAGAGAGACCCTGTCTCTAAGCCAAATATAAAACAAAGCAAAGAACTACTGATCTACATTGCAGTGATTAAAAGGAATAAAGGATTTAAAAATTGTATACAGAGTGTCACACAAAGTCACCCATTACAATCATAATTACACTGCGAGGCATGACAGGAGGTGGAGAGACAGCACGTGCAGAGACAAGGCCAGCATGCATAATGGAGTGGAAGCCGGTGTGGTGTGGAACACAACCGCATACACAGAAGGGTTAAAACCCAAAGCACAGTTCAACTCAGTAGCAAACTAAAAATAAATAGATAATACTTTTTTTGAAAAAAGAAACCCACACAAAACAAAACAAGGAAGGATAAGGACAAAAAATCAACACCACTCAATATGAAAAATGAGCAGCCTCCAGATTAATGCTTAAAAGGAAGAAACAAGAATGCAATTGGAGAATACTAAGGTGAGGGAAACCTCAAACCTAGAGCTTAAAGAAGTGGGTGGCATTCTGGTTAGAAGGGACAGGTAATTTAATCCCACTCATTCTGTCAGGATTCTTGAGAGCATGGATCTATCCATGCAACCCTCTGCCATGCAAAACACACATGGTGGAATTTGAATAAATATAAAACAAGTCACACAATTGAACATTACACCAAAAAATTTAATTAAAAACTCAAAATAAAATATGTATTAATTTCTAAGTTTAAGCTTACAGTTTGGAAATGCAAATGACAAAAAGGCCTATGAAGTGTGGTGTGTTGTGTGTGTGTGTGTGTGTGTGTGAGAGAGAGAGAGAGATTCTTCAGATTTTTCTCAAGAGGAGGACTTAGGAGAAGAGTGCTACATTTTGTAATTTAATAAACTGCCATATAAGTCATTTGACAATCAGATCTTCCAAGCAAGATAACTAAGCATAAGCAAAGGGGAAAAAAAAGAAATTCACAAAAGGTGCATAAACAAAAATAATTAGCTTTTATAGATTACTAAGTAATCTGGCTACTTATTAACAAAGAAGGAGACTCTTATACTAGGATCTGAGTCTGTTTCTCTGGGTTCCTCCTCCAGGGTGAATGTATTCTTCCTGCTGGACTCTCATCAACAGGTGAAAATGAGTTACTGTACCTGTAGCCAGAGCCTGTCTCCTGCCACGGTCCTGCCGATGGCACTGCACTGGAAGGTAGCAAATTGGCCAGCGTTAACTTCCACATTCTGAATCCGCAGGAAGTGAGGGGTCCTCGCTACATAAAGAAAAAGAATGAAAGATGTTAGAAGTGGCGATTTGTAACTAATGTATGTCTTCTTCAATCTACCTGCAATTTTTGGCCTTTCGATTTTGTTCACCTTGGGGGCAAAAAAATGCTTTTGCTTATATGAGCTTTAAGTATTTAACATAATTTTTAAAAATATCATAAAAAGTTTTGGTATGTTGTGTAAAAGAATAACAGAAAGCCAAGCATTCTGGAATAGAACGAAACAGAAAGAAGATATTTTATTGTTCCTGCTGTGCAAATTATCATAGCTCAGCAGTCTTCTTGTAATAACAGATCTGTATTAATAAAGATTAAACTGAAACCTAATTGATGTTTTGAACAAAAACATATTAGATATTTATACCAGCAACATGAAAAGAACAGTAAGAAGTTAAATGATGTTATCAAGGAAGCTTTTCAAGCCAAGTACACAGCTGTACATAATATATATTTTAATACCACTAACTGGTATGCAGCATTACTTATGTAATATTTTTCAGCTGCCAAAAATACTATTTCTTTAGACATGCTCTGTGAAATGATGCTGAGACTGCCATAGCATGGCAATGTTTGCTGATTCTTAATTCCAATTCAAGAACTAAGGATTCCAAATGGTGAACACCATTGTCTAGTAATGTACATTGTCCATATGGAACAGCTGTCGAAATAAAGGATTATTCCTACTTGGTATGAGAAGCAATTTCTGCATCACACTGAAAACAGGTGTCCAGGAACTAGAATGATAAGTCAGGACTTAAATTTTATGAAAATTCTACGTTTAGGAAAACATTCCCTTATTATAACAATGATAGAGTGAAAGAGTAACAAAGCGGGAAGAGTCGGCACAGAAAAAGAAGCAAAGAGTATAATCATACTTTCTGGGAGAGACAGATAAATCTGGATAATAACTAGAATACATCTGTTATGCCTTGCCAGCTTTTCCCCACTGCCAATGTGTCTTCAGCCATGTCCAGGCAGCTTCAAAAAAGGGTGCCCCACTACTGGGTAGCAAAAGATTACAAACTAGGGCTCGTATTAGCCTGGGCAGAACGTAATTAGGAATGGAAGTTGAGTTACTACCAAAGAACAAAGAAAAACTTAATTTAATGTCAAAAACACAGAGGAAAGCCCCATTATTAATTTGGAGGCCACTAATAATTCAAAGTATTCATGATGCTCAGCATACAAAATATTCTAAATAACTTCCAATAAAGCAATATAACCATGGACCATTGTTTCTTAATACTAATATATTAACATATAACTCTATGATCTCTGCTTTTCACTGACTTAATCAAATTACTCCTTGCTCAAGAATAACATAATTCTGTGTTTTTAAAAGATCTCTGTAAAAAGTCCCTAAATGAATTTCTCTTTTAGGCTTTGTTCCTGAAATACTCAAAGACCCATTGTTTTTAGAAAATGGAACAAGGTAACCTTTATCGGGTACTTATGCACCGGAAACTTTTCCACTGACTACTCACAAACCTTCTGTGAGGGAGATATTTTCTCCATTTCCAAGAGGGCGAACACTTGTGGGTACTTGGCTAGTAAGCGTCCGAAGAAGAACAAACTCCAGTATATCCAGTTCCAAACCCCAGGCTCGGTTTACGAAGCCACAGTGCCTCTCCCCAGACTTCCCACCATCTTTGCCTTTCCTTATCTCTTCATCCCACTTGCAGTGGCTCCCCTGTCTGCCTGCTGGAATTTTCAAGGTGTTTCTCAAACGCTGTTCCTTCCATGAAGCTTCTGCAGATTCGCTCACCTTATGGTTAGGCCTTCTAATATCACAACAGCCACAGCACTTGATGCGACAGAACTTGATGGTATCGCCTCACACTCAGCAAATACTCATTATCATCATTAAATTCATATTACTTAAAATTATTAAAACCATCCACCTATCCTTAAAGACTGTTCATTTTAGATTTCAATTTCTGTAGAATTCTACTCTCTCACTCTCATCTGACACTAATGAAATTTTTACCATATAAAAAACATTATAATCATTATAATTTTAGGTTTACTTACACCACAAGTCCCCAACATGAATAGAGTTCACTAAAAATTTTAAGATTTGACTCAATTAATAGGAATATATTAGAAGCCAAAAGCTGTTTTCTTGTCAAGGAAATTTAAACAAATTTCTTCTAATAAATCCATTTTAGTACATGTGTCCTTAGCTGGAAACATTAAAAAAAAAATCCCCCATGAAATAATTCTAAGCATACTCCCAAAGCCATGCAAGCTGAAACTGGATGACTTGATATAACTTCAAAAGATTAATCGCCATCACCATGTGGGCCCCTCAGAAAGCCCACTGGAATACCTGCCTCTTCCACATTCTGCTCCGGAAAGTAACCGTGGCTGTGACACTACCATCATCACTGAAGACGCTTCAAACCCAACATCCAGAAATCTCAATGGGCTGCCCTCTGGACTCAGAATCTGAGTTTATAGTTTGTTCCAACCATTGTTCTTTGTTTTCTTTTTGTTTCCTTGCTCTAATCTAAATTCACTCTTTTATAGATCTCTTACCTTACAATTTATAACACAAATGTCTCTGCACAGCAATCAACCTACTTTCTTTTTCTGAAGCAACTTCTACATGGGGAAAATACAGGGACCCATTCATATCCCCAGAGTTGGCATGAAGATTATTTTAAAGTGAAAACATTTGAGCAAAAGAAGATGTAGAAAGAAATCTTATCTGAACTTCAAGTATTTGACTAAAACACAGCTTTCCCAGAAAAAATAGTTGCCATTAACTCCCCTATAAGGGAGATGCCTAATTCAGCTGCCAGGTAGACAAAGTGCCTGTTGCCATTACCATCAAAAAGCCCAATAGAACTTTCTACATTTTCCCACTGAAGCCCTAAAACCACCCCCCAATCTTTTGTTAAATTTGGAATATAAATCTTTATCTCTGGGTATTTAGTGAGTTTTCCGTTGCTGGGAACTCTGGCCTGCAAATGAGAAAATAAACTTTGCCTTTTCTGCATTTAATCTGTCTCTTTCAGTTAATTTGCAGGTCCCCAACCACTGGACCCAAATCGGAAAAGGAAAAGTTTTCCTTCCAATAGTATCTAAGGACAATGCTTTGAAGACTTCATTCCACATGCTGACCAACCCCCGCCTTCCACCTCCCTGTGAGGTGTTAAATGCTGAAGTTATCCAGCACACTAGAACAGTAGGTTCTCTCCCTGGTGCTGGTCTCTCCAGTGGACTTCCCAGACACCTAATCCTGCTCTCCTCCAGCTACAGGTTACTACAGCAAGCTACGTCTCTAACACAAGGTGTCCGGGTGTGTAGCCATTTTTCATGATAACTTGGGTTAAAGGGATATTGCACTTGGGGCCACTATTCTGAAGTTTACCCCGCTCAGTTAAGCTGGTCAGTTCTGAGTCTGTGCTGAAGGGTTGTTAAATATTTATTTTCAGTATGACTCCTGGTGTATCGCAGCAGAATTATGCTACTAAACGGTAGTGCTATTGGCACCTAGAAAGCAGAGGCTAGGGACACTGCTAAACATCCTAAAATCTGCAGGATAGCCCCCACCACAAACAATTAGCGGGTGCCAAAATCTCAGCAGCACCAAGGTTGAGAAACCCTAATATATATCATACATAAACAAGTTTACTGAAACATCCCCCATTATTGAACACTGACGTTTGCTTCCATTACATATAATACTAAGATAAAAGTTTTCATAATTAAAACCTTTACGTTTTCATAAGTTAAACTATTAGAAATTACTAATAAAAAAAATGCATTTTTGCCAGTTCTGAAATGGTGGCATAGAAGCAAGTTGGCTTCACTCACTCCCACAAAAAATAAATAAATATACAGCACAGAGATTATCACCAGCAATAGCCGAGAACTCAAATATGAGGATGAGACTATTCCAGGAGTCAGAGATATGAAAAATTTCTGAGCAGAGGGAAAAAACCAGACTTCAATATCTGTGAAACCCCAACCCCCAATCTGCCCAGCAGAAAGTATCCGGAAACCTTCCTCTGACTCATAATTTCTACATTGGAAAAAATGAGGTCAAAGTGGGTAAACAATTTCCCCACTATTTTGGATTGCCTGGCAGGAAATCTGTCCCTTCCTCAACCCAAAGGAAGCATGGAGAGTGCCTGAAGGGATAAATATTCCTAAGGACAGAGACAAAGGTAGGGCTCAGCAGGACTGCTGCCCCAGCATTAGAAACTTTCTCTGTAACTTGGCCAAAGGGATGCCAAATCAGAGTGGCTGTTAAGCAGTACCTCACTGTAGGAGAATTGTTCATCCTTTCTGCACAAACCCTTAACCAGCCTTCCCACACTACCAGTATATCCCTTTGGGGACCGTGCAAATTCAGGGAAAGTAGTACTCTCACTGTTTCCTATCACTGAGGCAAATCTTGGCTTAAGGTGTCACTTAGTGCCAAAAATTAGGCAGTAACCTAGCAGAGGAAAAAAAGGGAAATCAACAGGTAAATTACAAAGAAGCTCTAAGCAAACATGTCCAATAAAAACCAAAACAAGCCAGACTGGGAAGACTGGAATAAATAACCAACCCTTTAGTACAAAGACATAGACACACATCCACAAGAAACAAAAACAAATGAGGAACCACAGTCTCTACAAATGGACAAAGCAAGGAACCTGTGACTGATTTGAACAAGATGGTGATACGTGAACTTTATAACCAAAAACTCAAAATAGCCATTTTAAGGAAATTCACTGATCTCTAACAAGCCACAGAAAAGCAACTCAGAAACTTATCAGAGAAAGTTAAAAAAAATTTAAAAATTAAAAAAAAAAACAGAAATCTTGAAACTAAGAAATACATTTGCTGAATTAAAAAATTCATTAGGGGCCGGGCGCAGTGGCTCACGCCTGTAATCACAGCACTTTGAGAGGCCAAGGAGGACAGATCACGAGACCAGGGGATCGAGACCATCCTGGCTAACACTGTGAAACCCTGTCTCTACTAAAAATACA